CTTCGCAGAGGCCTCTCTGATAGTCATAGACGCGATTGAAACGCGTCTTTAGCTCTGGACGTCGTGCAACGAAGCGGTCTGCCCAGTTCTTTCCGACGTGTCGCGCACCGCGTTTCCGAAGCAGAAGATTGGCGATATCACCCACGTCGACAATCCGGGGCGAAAACCCTCGCGAATCTCGGTCGAGTATGTATTGAACAATCGCCTCCTCTTCGATCTTCGTCAAATTCGAACGGCCGTGATAGCTGTCGGACTTCGCGATCTTTCCCTTCATTCTATCTGCAATTGTCGACTTGGGGACATTGTATATCTCTGCGGCGCGTCGGATACTCAAGCGCGGTGTTGATCGAATCGCATTGATCGCGAGAAGAACTCGGTTTTCTGGGAAGCTGTCGGACATTGTTGTGGTAGAGAAAACGCGTGTTGAAGTTGGGTGGTTATGGTGGGGGAAAATGTGTCCGAGTCAATGGGGTGTCCGAGTCAATGGTGGATCACGTTATGGGTTTTTCACCCGGCCTACGAGGGCCCGGTTTTCCTGTATAGTAAGTTGTTGAAGGTCCGGCACGCCCTAGGGCACGACGGTGTAGGAATAATAATAATAATTAGGCTAAAGGAGAAGGGGCTGACAGGCAACAAGCCAACGTGGCCTTAGATGCTGTAGGTTGGAGTCGACGAGACGTGAGTGGTCGTTGGTGTTGCCGTGGAGCTTGAACATGGATATTTGTTGGTGTTCAGGCGCCGCACGCGGCATTCTCCTCTAATGATTCGTTGTTCCGGATGGGAGACGGGAGTCACGGTAGTAGCATGGCGATCCACCTTTTCACCGCAACTCGTTGGTTCACTACTGTATTGGAAAACAGGTGGACTATTCGCTGTGCAGTAAACCTGGCATCTGGATCAACGCTATACAGGTGTAGGGCCTGATGAGCTGGCTGCGTCGTCAGGGCGCCTTGCAGCGTGCGGCCGTCAAATCGCAGAGTGTTGGCGCATCTGACTTGTGCATCCAGGCTGAGCTTTTAACTAGCCAAGTTTGTCCCTGATCGGCAAGATCACCACAGCTGAAGCCGATTAAAGAGCACAGCGGCCATGGAAATGCCAGCCGCAGCCGGTTTTGAATGCTCTTCGCAGCTTCTGATTTGTTAGAGAATGTGCTCTCTTCCTTGGTCTTTTTCTACAGTAAACTCAGGCTGGCAAGCGGTGTGCAAGGAACACAGATGCGGAGGCTGTTTCCAGACAATCGCGTCAACACGAGTATTTTGAATGGGCGCCACGAGAGATGTTTTCAGATTAGGTCAAAGAGATGCGATGTCTCGGACATTGCGAAGGCATTGGAATGGCGAGATATAACTCAGGCGGAGAGAGAGTCCCTTCAAGCGTCCCACCTCAACCTCGTCTGAATCCGGTGACCGTTTTTGTCTCGAGGTTTCCCATCTTGCGGTCGCCATGCATTTCCGACGCCTCTTTGCAACGGCAGCATTGCCATCCCTCTGCGCAGCTGTTGACCCAGCAGCTGTGTACGACGGAGGCTACGGCAGCGACTCGCCTATTCTTTGGGAATCGGCAACGGAGGCGCCGGACAAAGCGGGCTAATTGAAGGTACAAGCCTGATGTTGTTTCCGTGGATGTCTTGGAACAGTACTGAAGCTTAGCACATAGCTCTCGCCAACGCATTTATCGAGGACAGCGTCTCGAACGGCTCAGAGCCTTTCCGAGTCGCATGGTACCGCAGTGACACAACTTACAGCATCAACTATCTCAAGGATGGCACGACCGACATCGCCATTACGTACAGTCCGGCAGCGGAGCAGATCGCTATTGACCAGGGGATTGCATTGCCCCCGAGTTACTACGTGTGGAGAGACCATTTCCTCCTCGTCGGCCCACCGTCGAATCCGGCCAACATATCCAACGCGTCCGACATCCACGCCATCTTTTCAGACCTTCACGAGGCCGCCGAGACGGCCAACTCGGCTCCGCCCGTGCGGTTTCTGAGCCGGTACGACAAGTCGGCCACAAACATCAAGGAGTCTGACTTGTGGATTAGCATTGGCCAGGTGTGTCTCGCTCTCCGTCTCTACTATTGCCCGAGTGATTAACGCTGGTTTGCGTCAAAAGGTCCCCTGGGCCACGGCCTATTCCACGTGGTATCACCAGTACATTGCCTTTCCGCTTCAAGCCCTGACGGCGGCTATCCTGCTCGACGAGTACACCCTCACGGACCGCGGCACCTTTCTGTCCCTCCCTGCGAACCTGACGAGTCAGACCACCATCTTCAAGGCGGCCACCGACGACGAGAGTGACCCGCTCCTAAATCCCGCCCATCTGTTGATTGGAGCCAAGGCACCAAACCCACAGACGGCCGAGGCATTTGCCCAATGGATAGTGAGTGCCGCGGGCCAAGAGGTCATCAAGAAGTTTGAAAAGAACGGCCAGCAACTGTACACTCCGGCACCGTAGGGTGGATACGTCGGCACATCGGGGATCAACATCTGTCACAGGCGCAAGAGGGTTGATGTTGTGGTCTGAGTGGATATTCTGGTACGAGTGGTCCCGTAGGAAGTTGAGGACGTAGGCAAACGGAAGATGGTATTAGATGGTGGTAATTTCAGAAAGATACAAGTGCAGTTGTTGTATGTCCTGGGGAAGGCGCCAAATCGCTTCGAGGCATACCGCGTCTGGAAGATCTAAATAGACAAAGACCCTGTAACTCGCACAAACTGTTCCTCGACGTCCGACCACACCTTCTTGGCCGTGCCATCCTCCCGCAACTGGGCAAGAAGCTGCTCTACCTTTGGTGGCGCGCTCTCCGCATGGTTATCAATCGAGTACACACCACTGCCCGCCTTTCCGTCAGTGCCTCGCGCAACGGCCACATCTTGCGGCAGCGGAACGCCAGCGCCGGCGCCCTCGCCTCTTTCGGGGAATCGGGCGCTCGTTGCGAAGAATACATGCCGTTCTCCGGCTTCGTCAACGGGGATCTCAACAAACGGGCCAACCACGAAGAAGAGAATCCTGAAAACGGACCGGAAGATGGCGCCAAATAAGCCCTCGACGTCGTTCCCCAGGTTGGTCTTGACAGCGCCAGGGTAGTTGTGGATAAACGACACGCTCGGGGCGGTCTGCGCAACGGCTTCGAGGGCCAGTGTTGTCATGGAGACGATGTGGCCGCGGCCGGCTAGGGAGAGGAGAGAAGACTGGCGCATCTGGAAGTCATTCTTGTTGACGGCGCCTTCCTTGGTGCCGGCCAGAACCGTCACAACGCGGCGCAAACCAGTGGCGTTTTGAAGCAGACGCAGCAGGTTGACAATGAAGCGAAGACGGGCATAGTACGCCACGGCGATGGGGTAGTGAAGACCTTCTTCGGTTTCTGCCATTCAATTAGCCTCTCACGCGGCAGGGCACTCAAGGCTTGACGGACCCTTTCCAGTGACTGCGGTCCCGGTAGTCAGAAATAAAAGGTTGATAGCTGATTCCTTTCGCTTGATCTCGCGGCAGACCTCGTCGACCGAGCGGAGGCGGCTGAGGTCGGCGCTGATGAAGATATACTCTCCCTCAGGGTTCAGCTTCTGTAGGTCGGCGCGGACGCGGTCTCCAGATGCTTTGGATCGTCCGAGAAAGTAAATCCGGGGCTTGACGGCGTTTTTCGCGAACTGTTTTAGTGATGTCTCCCCGATGCCGTTGGTGGCCCCGGCGAAGACAGCGACGAGGCCGGGAGGAAGCGCCGTCGCGATCTTGGAGTTGGACGATCGGACTTGCTGTAGAGTAACCATTGAGCCGGGTGCGTGTACTGATATAGTGGGCTTTGAGGATGGAAGGTTGACGTTGTGATGGGGGGAAAAGTGAGTTATGTATTTTAGGGTACTTATTTATGTTGGTTCGGAAGGATGTCGAACCAGCGACATTAAGTGGATGCCGATGAACCCGAAGTCTATTATTATACTACCCGTTCCTATGATAATGCCTTCAATTTTGTTCTTCGTTCTAAGTCTCCGAATGGGTTACAACGGACGCTTTAGAGACAATGATCGGCCCGGAATCGCTCCGACCTTCCTTCCTGCATGCAATGGGCTCGGCTCCCAAAATTGCCCCGACACCCAAACACACGAGACGCAAACGATTCGCCAACCTGGTTTCCTCTTCTACCACCACTCAAGAATCTCAACGGACGGACTTAACACCATTTTTTGCCGAGGCCGGTCTGTTAACCTCCCCGAGTCCCCTATGCCCGAGGCCCCGGCTCGCAGGTAAGTCCATGCCATCTCGATGGCTGTAATTAAGTCATTCATTGAAGCTTCGCTTCAATGACGAACTCTTAACGTCGTGTTTACACATGGATGAGTGAGGAAGGAGCTTCCGCGCCTCCGGGCGAAATAAATTCCATCCATCCATCCATTCATGGGTGCCAATGGCTTCCCCACTTTAGCAATATGACCTCTCTACTGATGCGTGATGAATCAGATGATCCTCCAGTCTCCTGGCAAGTGCGCGCGTTATAGCCAGGCTTGCCGCACACACCACAGCACCGAACCTTCGTACGACGCCCACCTGCACCACCACATCCAACTGGGTTTCTTGCACTCCCTCCCCACCCACGGCCTTCTAGCCCACTAGGTCCTTTGCATCTTGTACGGCAAGTGATTCTCCAAGCTCTAGACGTTTTTTTTTTGGCTCTCCAGCGCTTACTCAATGCCTCGTTAGCCTTACGGAGCGAAGCGTTCTCTGACTCCTCGGGGATGGCCACGCGGTGCATTATAGCCATCGTACCCTTGGTGAGCTGGTCCACAGCAGCCAACATCGACGTCGGGGAGCTATTTTGATGGTTGGCAATGTGAGCCTTGACGAGCGTTGACTGCGATTCGGCTTCTCTAGGGCTGCGTGGCGTCTGGAACACCAAAGGTTGTGGAGTGCCGGCCCGCGAGTTCAGGGGCGTTGGTGTACGAAGCCTCACATCCAACTTGGAAAGCACCCTCTCTGGGTCGTTTGGCACAAGGCCAGCACCTGCAAACCCACCCTGTATGTTCTTCTCCGTCATAGAGGCATAGAAGGCTTCGCGGAAGCCGCAGAGGAACTCGAGCTTGCTCACGAAGTTGATATGCATCCGTATCAAGTCCTCGATCTAGCGACCGTACGCCTGCTTCAGCGGCCCAAAGCAGCCGACATCGAGTGGCTGGAGAAGGTGCGAGGAATGCGGAGGCATGCAGAGCGTATTGATGTTGTTATATTGGCAATGGACTTCGAATTCGGTCGAGTGATGGCTTTCGTGGCCGTCGAGAATCAACAACCGGTACTTGCCCTTTGCCCGGGCGCCGTGTGGTAGTCGAAGTGCTTGATCCAATCCAGACCTCCGGCATTGGCAGTCCAGCCGTTCTCAGTGGTTGCGATGCGCCAGTTGGCCGGGAGGTTGCACTCGGTGTACCAGTTGGCGAGGTGGTACTGCGCGGCGAAAAGGATGAAGGGAGGGATAGCCTAGCCGAGGACATTGATTCCCTGGATTACAGTTGCCCCATTCGCGGTTGCCAGGCTGGGCCAGCTTTGCCTTGCCACGGCCATCAGAGGTCGTAACCACCATGCCCGCGCAGATAATGCCCATCATAAACCGGGTCTCGTCGAAGTTATAGATATCGTCATCCACGATACCATACTTGGCCTTGGCGTTCCGTACGAGGGCAAACCACTCGCCAATGACCTTTGAATCCTCGCACTTAGCCCTCTGATAGTCGTATCGACGCGAATATCGCGTATGGAGCGCTGGCTGGCGTTTAACGAAATTATGAGCCCAGCGTTTGCCGACAGGGGGCGCGTCGCATTCGCATAGCAAATGGTTGGCCATATCTTCCACACCACAGAGTCTTGGCGGGATTCCTCGCGTATATATTATTATTATTCCTACACCGCTGTGCCCTTGGGCTTGCCGGACCTTCAACAACTTACTATACAGGAAAACCGCGCCCTCGTGGGCCGGGTGAAAAACCCATATCGACAATCAAGGAAACGATCAGTGTGCGATCCTGCAAATACAAAGTGGGAAGGCCTCTTGGCCTTCGAAGGAAAGGGTATTAGACTGCGAGCTCCAGCTCCAGCCTCCTGGCCAGACTGTACATCGGCAGT